CCAGCAAGGGTTGAATTAGTCCTCAGCGAGCCCCAGTTTGGGAAAGGACTTTAATAAAAGTGGGAATGGGATCTACAGCCTTCCCTTATGCCTGGACACATTTTCAGGCCACCCCTGGATTCAAGAACATACTCACGTATTCAAGTGGGAAGGGATTGAGGTGGGAGTTACTTGTACTCACCCACGAACAAGAGTCTTCCTGTATTTGCTACCGCCGATAAAGTCCTGGTACCAGAAGCTTCATGATTACGATGGAGTCATTTGGGGTGCAAGTAAATGAAGGCTAAACCCAGGCCTTGTCTTGAGAGGTGTTTCTGGATAAGCCGTGTGTACTGCCAACGTACTCTGCTGGGCCCCCCTCCGCTCTTCTCCGTTTGCCTTGGTGCGATGGGGCGGCGGCAGCAGCACCGGCAGCAGAGCAGGGAAAAGCAGTCAGGTGGGACGGGGGGGAAGGGACATTTCTAGAGAAAGAGGAAAGAGGAACTGAATGGAGAAAAGACACCGGGTAGGTGAAAATCCAGCAGCAGACACTCCCTGTGATTTGAGAGTTTTGAAGAATTTCAACCTCTTCTGTTCTGTTGAGAAGGCATATGCTGTAAGACAGCACTGGCGTTCTCCAAGGAAGAGCATGTATTTCCTTCCCTGCTTTAAAGAATTAAAACAGTGTGGAAATTAGTATATAATCAGATTTATAATCACAGTGTAAAACACACATGGTATTAGGTAAGGCTGGGAAAGGTATCCAATTTTCAGTCCTCAGCTCCTTGCGTTTCCCCTCCCAACAACTGTTTAACTCTCTCTCTTGAAGATCATAAACCTTTTGTTCCCAGGTGCTACTGCTCCCTTCTGTTCCTCCGTCGGCTGGCCGGAAAGGCAGCAAGAGCCTCCCAGAGCTTCTTGCTCCCTAAAGGAGTGGGAAAAGCAATCCCTTTCTACCTTGCTAGCCAAAGGTGCAGGAATTTGCCACAAAACCTTCTGTCCTAAGGGTACAGCTGATTTCTTTAAGAAAACATTCCAAAATGGGTTTTGCTGAACTTCCAGCAAAACATTGGCGTGTTTCTGAGGAAGAACTGGTGGACTCTCAGTGCTGTGGTGGACTCCACAGGGAAGCCCTGGCAGAGGGATGGAAATCCTCAGCAGGGCATGTCAGAGCCTGGGCCTCACAAAAAGCAGAAAACCGCGAGGACTTGTGTCCTCAGGGCACCTGGTAGGTCCAGTTTCCTCCACGTGTAGCAAAGAGCCCCGAGAGCCACATCTCACGGCGCAGAGTTTCCTCTCCTGCTCTGCATCAGAAATTTGAATGGCCCGTACCACATTTCCTCCAGTTACGTGCTGAAACAGGTAAGTAAAATGCACCTGTATGAAACACTTCACTGACCTGCTGCCCTTGGCTTTGCCTACCCACGTACTTGAGACAACCGTGTCCCAGATGTCCTCCAGCGTGAGAAACGTTATGGGTGCACTTCAGGGCTGCGGCACGGGGTGCAATCAGCAGGTATTCCAGGTCACTGGTCTTGGGTCACTAGATGTCACCCACAGCACCTATGCCTTCAGAGGTGCCACCTTAACACATTTCTTTCAGGGTGACTAATGATGGATGGATGAGCTAAAGGTATAAAATCCCCCTTTTTCCTCTCAGAGGCCACAATAACATTCAGTCCCACTTCCATGTCAAGCTTAAGTCTGCATTTTAACATGTACATTGAGGAAAAAAAATCTAATATTATGCTTTTGAATAGAGAATTTACCTAAGTAAATAATTATTTTTAAACCCAAGATTTAGGCAGCTTTAGTATTCCACATTATGCTAATGTTTGACAATTACTAAGTGTGGGTATCAGCCAGCATTTTTTTTTTTAAGTTTAATTTAAAGCAATTTGACATGGAAAGGTTATTACTTTAGTTGCCAATAAAAGCTGTACTTTTAACATAAGTGTACACCAAGCCCTAGGGTATGTGACTATTATCTTTTCTGCAATTATGTGGTGTTCTACATAAATGTTTAAAAAAAAAAAAAGAAAAA